GCTTTGGGAGGCCAAGGCAGCAGGATCGTTCAAGCCCGGGAGTTCAAGGTTGCAGTGAGCTATGATGGAGCCACTGCACTCCAGCCTGGGTGACAGAGCAAGAGTGTATCAAAACACACACACACACACACACACACAGACACACACACACACAGTAATAAAAAGCAGAGCAGAGTGAGAATTTTCAGCAATTCAGTAGGCACAGGGTGGAATTTTAACAAGGGCAATCAGGATAGGAGCTGGAGAGAAGGTGAGAGCTGAGTAGAATTGAAGAGGGTGAGGTGTGAGACAGGCAGATACAGGAGGATGGCTCTAAGTAGGAGTTAGCCTGGAGCCCCAGAGGCAGGCAGGGCCTGCAAGGCTGCAGCCAGGGATGCAGAGGGAGGTAGGAGGAGGTGATGTCAGAGAGGCACCGGGAGGACTCTGTAGGGCCTTGCAGGTAAGGGAGATCCTGTGGGTGGGGTTAGGGGATCCGATCACACAGGGCCTTCTCCGTGTGGAGTGAGGACCACTGCAGGGTTCTGAGCAGGGGAGTAACATGATCTGACCCACATTTTGTAAAAATCATCCTGGCCGTTGGGTTGCGAACCTTGGTGGAAACAGGAGCCCTTTAAGGGGTCTCTGCAGCGAGGTCACGGTGACACCAGCTGGGGTGGAAGTAGTGAAAGTAGTCGGAAGTAGTTGGACACTGGATATGTTCTGAAGGTAGCAACTATAGGATTTCCATGGAGAGAGAACTGGATGTGGGCTAGGAGAATAGACGTCCAGGATTCCCTCCTGGCTTTTGACCCGAGCACCTGGGGGTGGAGTCATCTTTAACTGAGGTGGGAGGAGATCGCAAGTTGAGCTTGTCTATTAGACACCCAAGTGGAGATGTTAATAGTCTACTTCTGGAGTGTGGGAGAAAGGGCTGGAATGATGAAATAAATTCACAAGTCATTGTCATCAGCATGGTTTTTAACCCTATATACCTTACTTCATTCAGGTTGCTATTACAAAGTATCTTATAATATGACTAAACAAGAGAAATTTCTTTCTCGCGGTTCTGGAAGCTGGGAAGTCCAAGATCAAGTTACCAGCGGCTTCAGGATCTGGCAAGGACCCACTTTCTTCATGGACAGATGTCTTGTCTCTGTGTCCTCACAAGGGAGAAGGGGCCAGGCAGCATTCCGGGTCCTCTTTTTTAAAGGGCACTAATGGGTTAGTGAGGGCTTTGGTCTCATGATACCCCATGTAATACTATCACATTGATGATTACATTTTTAACATTTAAATTTGAGGGGGATACAAACATTCAGAATATACCATCAAAAGACGAAATAAAATCTCCAATACAATGCATTTAAATCAAGCAAAGAAAAGGTCCGATGACTATAACCTCACATACCCCAGCTTTAACAGGTTTTGTGGGCCAGGTGCAGTGGTTCACACCCTTGATCTCAGTCCTTTGGGAGGCCAAGGGAGGAGGATCACCTGAAGCCTGGAGTTTAAGGCCAGTCTGGACAACAAAACGAGACTCCACCTCTCCAAAAAAATAAAACAGTTAGCTGGGAGTGGGTGTACGCCTGTAGTCCCAGCTACTAGGGAGACCGAGGTGGGAGATTGCTTGAGTCTAGGAGTTCAAAACTGCAGTGAGCTGTGATTGCGCTACTGTACTCCAGCCTGGGTGACAAAGCGAGACCTCATCTATAAAAATGAAATATAAAATAAAATAAGGTTGGAGGGAAAGGAAGAAACAGCAAAGGAGCCTAAGAAGAAGCAAGCACTAATATAGGCAGAAAACTAGAAGAATCTGGTGTCCTGGAAACCAAGTGAAAGAGAAAGAAAATCAAGAAGGGAGTAACCCAAAGTATCAAATGCTGCTAAGGGATCAAGTTAAAAGGAGGGCTGAGAACAGGTGGGTGGATCCAGCAGCCTCAGCCAACAAGGACAGATATGATGAAATGGGTAGAACTAAAAGCTGGATAAGAGCAGGTTTAAGAGAAAGTGAGGGGATAAAGCTTGGAGACAGTGAGTACAGACACATCTGGAAAGCGTTTTGCTCTAAAACGCTAGCTGAGGAAGTATTCATCAAAGGAAAGCACAGTGTGTATGCCTGCCTGTATGCCTGTGCATGTTGAAGAGCAGGAGAAAGAATGGCACGTGTGTCTGCAGATGAGAAGGGACCTGAAGAAGGAGAGAAAACGTTCCAGTGTAGGAGAGAGATGAACTGCCAGAGCAATGTCTTGCGAAGGTAAGAGGGAAGGGGCTCTAGTGCAAAGTGGAAGGTTTGGTTGTCAATAGAAACACAGGAAATTGATCCATATGAAGATGTAGCTTCAGATGCTGATAAGTGAACAGACGTGGTAAAGGCAGTGTGTGAACATTCTCTTTGTGGCCAGATTTTCTCGGGTCCTTACTGGGTGCCCAGCACTAGGATGCCCACTAGGTCATCACAACAGGTTCTCCACATCTTTGGCATGCCTTTGCCTCTCTAGGACAATAATAACTCAGAACCGTTTGCAGGACTCACTAGGTTTCATATGACAGGGAAATGGTACCCATAAAAACCCAAAGGGATAAGCGGCTTTTCACAGACCTCCCTGAATGTGTGGACCTTTCCTGGGGTCAAGAATTTGAAGCAGTTACTCTATCATCTATTACAAGGCATAGGTAGAATCTCGTACTAAAGCTCTCTTCCTTTCTGCGGCCATCACCTAAGCGGGAGCTGCCGAAATGAAGTTCAATCCCTTTGTGACTTCCGACCGAAGCAAGAATCGCAAAAGGCATTTCAAAGCACCTTCCCACATTCGCAGGAAGATTATGTCCTCCCCTCTTTCTAAAGAGTTGAGACAGAAGTACAACGTGCGATCCATGCCCATCCGAAACGATGATGAAGTTCAGGTTGTACAAGGACACCATAAAGGTCAGCAGATTGGCAAAGTAGTCCAGGTTTACAGGAAGAAATACATAATCTACATTGAACGGGTGCAGCGGGAAAAGGCTAATGGCACAACTGTCCATGTAGGCATTCACCCCAGCAAGGCGGTTATCACTAGGCTAAAACTGGACAAAGACCGCAAAAAGATCCTTGAACGGAAAGCCAAATCTTGCCAAGTAGGAAAGGAAAAGGGCAAATACAAGGAAGAAACAATTGAGAAGATGCAGGAATAAAGTAATCTTATATACAAGCTTTGATTAAAACTTGAAACGAGGAAAAAAAAAAAAAGAATCTCGTACTAAAAATAAGTATGCTAAACATAGAAAGTCCAGTACTTATCTGAGTTGTGTCAACTAAACTGCCAACAGCTACATCTACATATTTGGAAACATTTGTACAAACACTCAGATATTTGGAAACACCAGAAGCCCTGGCATCATTTAGGATTTTTATGGCTTGATAACGCTTATCTAGATATTTTGGTTTTGTGCAGACACAGCCAGGAAGAGGGAATGATCCATTTGAAATAAAACCTCTGTCCACAAAGATCTATCTCTGTCCTCACACAGACACTAAAAGCAAAGAACGCAGTCATCACTAAACCATCAGAAATAAAATATGATCATTTTACTTTGATCTTGCCCATGAAAATAAATATTCCCCTGTATGTAGAGGTAAACTCTCACCAAATATTTATTTTGTGCTTTAATTCTCATTCCAAGTAACTAAACTCTTTTAGTTTATTCTGTTGAAAAATTACAAAGTTTTCTTTCATCATCCTTTTCATTTTTAATGAAATCTTAAACCTATTAAAACCCGTCCACAATGTGGCTGTCGTACACTCTTCAGGATTCTCATGCAGCCTCACAGTGAAGTCAGCTTGATGTCCAATGCCTTTCGATTATGTTACTGCAATTCATTATGAGTTGTTAGATAAGATGCTGCAGCATAACTCCCTGGAAATTAAACCCAAGACACCATTCAGCTTTTCTAAAACCCTGTGATTCTATGTAGCCAAGTAGGTATTACATTAAGCTTCATCCATGCAAGGCACCATGACAAAGGACAGGCAAATCTTTTATCCATTCTTCTTTATGCCCTTAAGAGCACTTTGCAATCTGTCACCCCATGTTTATGCATACTTATTATATGGAGAATGCCATTCCACTCAAGGAAAAGCAAAATTTTGCATAGCAAGTTCCCAAATTTTTGACACAGATTTGTTTCTCTAGTGCAGTAATAACTGGAGGATATATAGATGGCTTTCTATATATGGTCAGCTTCCATGTAAAAAGAAATGCTCAGAGGCAGCTAGTCAAGCTGCCAGCCTTTTATTCCTTCCTCCATAGATCCCTCCAGTTTTTTTTAGATGATGAGCGTTGTGAGAGTTAAAAACCAGCAAAGATGCTCCTTGCTGTAACTACAACTTTGAATCCCACAAATGTTTATTATTATTATTATTTTTTAAATCACACATGTATAAAAAGAAGAAAATTAAAAGTGTAATTGTCAGTATGTATTACTCATATTAGGTAGGGTAACACTAGCTGCTATAACTAATAAACCCCAAATTTCCATGACATAGCACAACAGTCTATTTCTTGCACATGTAACAGTTCAGGTAACAGTTTATTCAGGTAACAGTTCAGGTGGTAACTGAACAGTTCAGTTCAGACAATGGCTGTTCCTCCACATTGTCATTTAGGAACCTAGACTCCTTCCAAGGTGTGGGTCTAATAGCTCCTGTTTCCTTGGAGTCCTCTGGACCCAGCCAACAGAGGGTGGAAGGGAGGACAGAAAAGCCCCACCCCAGAAGTGATACATCACTTTTGCTCAATTCTCACTTTTGCATTGGTGAGAATTAGCCATATGTTCTGATCTGAATGCAAAGGAAGCTGGGAAATGTAGTCCCTGATTGGAGATCTGTGTCCAAGTGATAACTCTAAACTAAGGAAGAGGGAAACATGAGTTTCAGCGAGCCATCTCTGCCATGCTTGAGTTATATCAGCACATTAAAAATATATATTCTGTAATCCCTCCTACTGTTAACATTTTGGAATATAGCTAACAAATGGCATCATACTGTACGTGTTGTTTTATTAACTGATTTTTTTATAACAGTGTATTGAATAACATATGTCACATATATTTTTAATGTACATCATTTGTGTGAACAGTGTGGCTGGAAATAGCAGCTGGGGCATTTCTCTGGTGTGTGTCTTTGCTAGCCACTCTCAAACACAGGGAACAGCATGGGCTGCCAGAGTGTAATGGCTTGGGTCAGGCTTTGGGCTCAAGCAAACCTGGGCTCAAGTCCCAGCCCTTAACATTTGCTAACTTGTAAATATGGAACTGCTCTTTCCTTAACACATAAAATGAAGGTAGGAACTTCAGTTTTCCTTTTCTGTAAAATGGGGATAGTAGCTTATTTTATGAAGTTGCTGTGAGGGTAAGTAAAATAATTTCTGTAAAGAACTCAAATACTACCAAGATGAATGATATTTTATTTTTTAAATCTTGTAAGTGACTTTTATTTTTAAAAAGCCTTTTATATTGTTGGCATTGTGGCCTGGGTGGACAAAAATGTAAAGTGAATTATGGCTTGCATAAAGGTAACATAGGGACTTTTTTTGTTGTTGTTTGTTGGGTTTTCTTAGGGACAGGGTCTCATTATATTACCCAGGCTGGACTTGAACTCCTGGGATCAAGAGATTTTCCTCAGTCAGCCTCCCAAGTAGCTGGGACTATAGACACATGCCACCTTGCCCTTAACCTGGGGATCTTAATTATTATTATTATTTTGAGATGGAGTCTCGCTCTGTCGCCCAGGCTGGAGTGCAGTGGCTCAATCTCGGCTCACTGCAACCTCTGCCTCCCAGATTCAAGCAATTCTCCTGCCTCAGCCTCCTGAGTAGCTGGGACTACAGCCATGTGCCACCACACCCAGCTAATTTTTTGTATTTTTAGTAGAGACAGTATTTCACCATATTGGCCAGGCTGGTCTCAAACTCCTGACCTCATGATCCACCCACCTAGGACTCCCAAAGTGCTAGGATTACAGGTATGAGCCATGGCGCCCAGCCTAACCTGGGGATCTTGATGCTGATTCAGTAGGTTTCAGATTGAGCCCAGGAATCTAAATTCTTAGCAATTCTCCAAGGTAGTTCTGATGCATATTATCCTTGGGACCCAAACTAGGAAACCCTGTTCTATTAGCTTCTATTTAGACAGCCAAATAGAGGCCACCAGACTGAGAAAAGCAAGAGAGCAGAAATCAAGAGAAATTAATAAATGATTCCCCCAGATTCATAAGAGAAGAAAGAGATAAAAGGAACATCTAATGCAGTGTCTCAAGAGGCATGTTAGGTGTGACAAATTCTCATCATATGGGATCATTCCAAGCATGGAAGAAATTCTGCCTTGCTGTCTCCTGTCCACTAAATGTCAGTAGTGTCTCCACAATTATTGTCCAAATGAAAAATGTCCCATATTTTTCCCAGTATCCTATGGGAATAGAACCACCCCCGAATGAAAACCAGTGATCTAGCCCAAAGCTTCACCTTTTCAGATAAGGAAGGTAAGTCTCAGAGAAGTGGAGTGACTTGCTTATGAGGACACGGCCAGTTGGTGTTGTGGCTGGGAACAGATTCCAAGCATTTAGCTCCAAGTTGCAGGCTTGCTTCCACCATATGATCATATTAGCTTAGAATGTTTTTAACTGCAAGCACTAGAGAATCCAATTTGATATCACTTCAATGACCTGGAAATTGATCAATAACTTCACTGAAAGTCCTGAAGTAGAACATGCTTCAAAAGTATTGAATTCAGTGCTTATGACTCCACTTGCTTGTGGCTTGACTGGCTTTTCCATCCTCTGTGTCAGCATCATCTTCAAGCTTGTGCTGCATGTTACAGCAGTGTCGGACCTTGGATCTGAACAGCAATAGCCAAGAAAAGGGAGACAGAATCACTTTCAGAATCTCTCTAAGGAAACGAGAAACAACTTTCCTAGAAAGTTCAGAAAACTGCTTCTTGAGTCTAAGTGGCCCACCTTGAGTCATATAGCCATTCATAAACCAAATTCTTCCCAGAAATGTGAGCTAACACTTGGATCATCCCAAGAACTTGGATGAAGTGGGTAACATAGTTTGGACATTTGTCCCTGCCCAGATCTCATGTTGAATTGTAATCCCCCATGCTAGAGGTGGGGGGCCTGGTGAGAGGTGTTTGCGTCATTGGGGTGGATCCCTCATGGCTTGGTGCTGCCTTCACAATAGTGAGTCTCACAAGATCTGGTCTTTAAAAGTGTGTGGCACCTCCACCCTCACTCTCTCTTGCACCCGCTCTGGCCATGTGCTGTGCCTGCTCCCACTTCACCTTCTGCCATGAGGCCTTCCCAGAAGCAGATGCCAGTGCTATGCTACCTGTACAGCCTCTGCAGGTTAATCTACCTCTTTTCTTATAAACTATCCAATCTCAGATATTTCTTTATAGCAATGCACTTACAAACTAACATTGCCACCATGAGCCAATTAAACCTCTTTTTTTTTCACTGTTTTTTGAAATTGTATTTTACTTTAAGTTCTAGGATACATGTGCATAACATGCAGGTTTGTTACATAAATATACATGTGCCATGGTGGTTTGCTGCACCTATCAACCTGTCATCTAGATTTTAAGCTCCGCCTGCATTAGGTGTTTGTCCTAATGCTCTCCCTCCCCTTGCTCCCCACCCCCTGACAGGCCCCGGTGTGTGATGTTCCCCTCAGCGTGTCCATGTGTTCTTATTGTTCAGCTTCCATTTATGAGTGAGAACATGCGATGTTTGGTTTTCTGTTCCTGTCTTAGTTTGCTGAAAATGATGGTTTCCAGCTTCATCCATGTCCCTGCAAAGGACATAAACTCATTCTGTGTTATGGCTGCGTAGTATTCCATGGTGTATAGGTGCCACATTTTCTTTATCCAGTCTATCATTGATAGACATTTGGGTTGGTTCCAACTCTTGCTATTGCGAACAGTGCTGCGATAAACATACATGTGCATGTGTCTTTATAGTAGAATGATTTATATCCTTTGGGTAATGAGATTGCTGGGTCAAATGATATTTCTGGTTCTAGATCCTGAAAACCTCTTTTCTTACAAATTACCCAGTCTCACATATTTCTTTATAGCAATGCAAATACAGACTAACACAGCCAGCGTCCCCTGCACTGTGTTGACATGGGTGGGTAAACATCTGAAAACTGTCAAGTTTCTATTAGAAGAATGGACCCTCCTGATGCTGGTTAGGCCCCCATCAGTGTTAACAATAATCGTCTTGCCGCTTATAGTCTTAAACAGTTCTCCAGTTATTCAGTCTGCAACTATGATGCCAAATTCTTTGGGGTTTCCAAGGACTAGACAATATGCATAACAAACAAACAGAAATGAAGCATGTTTTCTCGTCATATCAAACAATATATGGTTGCATACCTGGCATATATATATATATATATATATATATATATATATATATATATAATTTAGAGCTAGATTTGGCTGCATATAACAGAGGACCCAAGAAAAGACAAACATTTTTTTCTTGCATATGTAACAAGGCCATAGGAAACCAGACCAGCTGACAGGGTGACTCCACCATGATTAAGGATTCAGATTTCTTCCGCTTTGTTCTTCCACCGTCCTCAAAATTAGGGTCCTTACTCTGTGGTCCAAGTTGGCTGCTCAGCTCCACCCATCACGCCTGCATTTCAACCAAGAGGAAGATGAGAAGATCTAAAGAAGGGTGGATACTCCTTTTAAAGACAAATCCTGGAAGGACAGCATACAACTTCCACGTAGATCTCATTGCTGCAACTTACTCACATGGCTACACCTAGCTTTAAGGGAAGCTAGAAAATGGAATCCTTGTTCTGCACCACTGATACAACCTATCGTCAGGAATTTTATTAGTAAGGAAGAAAGAAGGAAAGGACATTGGGGGTAGTTAGGAAACAATGCCACATATAAATCAATAAAGAAACAACGAAATGCAAGTTCTGAAAATCCCCATTACCACTGATAAAATACATTTCAAGAATTATTCAACAGCCAGGTATGGTGGTTCAAGCCTGTAATCCTAGCACTTTGGGAGGGCAAGGTGGGAGGATTGCTTGAGCGCAGGAGGTTGAGGGTACAGTGACCTGTGATCTTACCACTGCACTCCAGCCTGGGGAACAAAGGAAGACCCTGTTTCAACAGCAACAAAAAGAATGTTTCAATAATACTAAATGCATAGTATTTGGAATTCTTGAGCCTCACTCTAAAGTCCAGCACAAGTGAAAAATGAAAAGTGTCAACCAAGGAGAAGCCAATCTATGCTTAGCTCCTTAAAAGTGTTTCCCTCCTCCCCAAAAAACACTGTGCAGTTCCCCTGTGTGGGAAGGAGAATAACCCAACTAGTCATAGATAAGAGTTAATGACCCAAGTGAATAAAGAAGGTGGTTATCCAAGTGTAATCTAAATGAACCTGGGGCTCATGTTGCTGAATTAAACATTAAGCACATTTAAAGAAAAAAGTCAAGAAATCGGGTCATTAAAAGGTAATTATAGTCATTAATTGTATTTTGGAAGAACAATAAAGGAATCCAATTCATATCCCACAGGAATACTTTCCCATCAACTCAGGGCTCCTATTGCTTGCATTCTAACACTGCCTTAGAACCTGGTGGTTCTATTCTAAATCTTGATGCTCCTCTCTTTCTCGGAAGCCTTATTTTTCTCTTTCCTGCCTTCTTTTCTGCTCTGTCACTCATACCCATTCTCTTTATTTATTCTCTCTCTCTCTCGCCCCAGCCCCACCTTTCTCTCTCCCTGTTTCTCTCTCTCTTTCTCTGTTTCCGAGATGGATCCTACCATGTTGCCCAGGCTGGACTTGAACTCCTGGGCTCAAGGTATCCTCCTGCTTCAGTCTCCTGAGTAGCTAGGTCTGTGCCTGGCATCATTCTCTCTATGTTGGTTCCAAAATTCCCAGAAATCAGCAAGCCAAGACAGCACCTGGAGTCAGGGAAGGGGAAAAGTTGAACAGACAAAGGCAAGACAAGGACAGAAGAAGGGAACAGGGAAAGGCTGGGAACAGCCCCACTTTGTTAAATCCTGTCTGTGACAATCTCTTGAGTCATATGGTCATTAGGGATATTTGTCCACTCACAAACCCCCAGTCTTCTCCCAGAGGAGATCTCCACGGTCCTCTCTGAATTAATGGAGATGCTGAACAGAGTCACTTTCCAAGGGCATGGATACTTTCTCTGCACTGAGATGAGGATTTCTGCCTGAAGGGTAGTTGTGGGACAGCTGGAGGTCACTAGAGATGATGCTAACTACCTATGAATATCTATCTGCTTTTCAGGACTAAGTCAATAATAAGTTTTTATAACAAAATAATCTGAAAAATGAAAACAAAGGTAGGAACTTGGTGTATTAGCAACACACACACACACACACACACACACAATCAAACAGGTGACCTCTAGTCAAGATGACAGATTAAAAAAAAAAAACACTAGAATCCTGCTCCTATTTGAAACAAATAGAAAATTATGAATTACCAAAATTACATGAAAAACAAGATCTGAAGAGAACACTTTGTCAGCCAGGGTTCCTTTGCTCAAGCAACAGAAAATGATTTTGGCTTACAAAATCAGTTACAACAACTGAAAAACCACAGGGAAAGAAAAGAGTTACCGGCCAACCTCACTTATGCATATACATGCAAATAGTCAAAATACAGTTACCCCTCATTATACATGGGGATTGGTTCCAGGACCTTCTCCATATACCCAAATTCTTGCACACTCAGGTCCAATAGTGGGCTTTGCTGAACTCACATGTAAGAAAACTTTCTCCATATACACAGGTTACACATCCCACAAATAATGTTTTTTCTTTTTTGTTTATTTGGTTTTGTTTTTGAGACAGAGTCTCACTCTGTTGCCCAGGATGGAGTGCAGTGGCACAATCTCAGCTCACTGCAACCTCCATCTCCTGGGTTCAAGCAGTTCTTCTACCTAAGCCTCCCAAATAGCTGGGATTACAGGCACCTGCCACCAAGCCCAGCTAATTTTTGCATTTTTAGTAGAGACCAAGGTTTCACCACATTGGCCAGGCTGGTCTCAAACTCCTGACCTGAGGTGATCCGCCCACCTCAGCCTCCCAAAGTGCTGGGATTACAGGCATGAGCCCCTGTGCCCAGCCACATAATGTATTTTCAATCCAAGTTTGGTTGGACCTAGGTAGTTCAAATTCATGTTATGCAAGGGCCAACTATAAAAGATTAGCTCATTTAATGCAGCAATGAATGTTTTTATACTCTAAAGACAAAATGATGCTATAACTGGAGAAGACACCATGATTTCACTAGACATTGCTGTCCCTGGACACTTGATGCTCTTTCTTGTACCATTGCCACATATGGAAAAACAAAATGAAACTCCATGCGGTCCTTGATTCTTTGCTAATTTGCTCCAGGTTTAAAATACTAGGCAAGAGGCCCTCCTTAGCTGAACCTATAGCATTTTCCCAGGTCCTAGATGTTAGTAGGTAGAGGAGTGCATATGTTTAATCATTTCAGCTATTATAATGGAATACAGGCTCTTTGTTCACTGTTTGGCCAAGACTAATAGAACAGCAAATTCTTCAAACAGGAAGGTAGTTTAGATGTTAGACAGCAAAAAATAAACACACAAATAAAAATCCACCGAACCAATAAATATTAAAGACATTTAAAAAATCTCAGCTGGTGGGCATGGAAGGAACATATCTGAACATAATAAAAGCCACATATGACAGACTCACAGCTAGTATCATGCTAAATGGGGGAAAACTGAAAGTCTTTCCTCTAAGATCTGGACCACAACAGGACGCCCACTTTTATCACTGTTGTTCAACACAGTACTGATATTTCTAGCTAGAACAATCAGACAAGAGAAAAAACTATAAGGCATCCAAAATGGTAAGGAAGAAGTCAAATTAACCTTATTTGCAGCTGACATAATCTTATATTTAGAAAAACCTAAAGACTCCACTGAAATACTATTAGAATTGATCAACAGTAAAGTTGCAGGATACAAAATCAACATACAAAAGTCAGTAGCATTTCTATATGCCAACAGTGAACAATCTGAAAAAACATATTTAAAAGTAACCCATTTACAATAGCCACAAATAAAATCAAACACTTAGAAGATGACCAAAGAAGTGCAAGATCACTACGACGAAAACTGTAAAGCACTGATGAAAGAAACTGAAGAGAACACACACACACAAAATGCAGAGATAGTTCATGTTCATGGATTGGAGCAATCAGTATTGTTAAAATGTCTATACTATCCAAAGGAATCTACAGATTTAATGCAATCTTTGTCAAAATACCAATGATATTCTTCACAGAAATAGAAATCTTAAAATTCGTATGGAACCATAAAAGACCAAGAATAGACAAATCTACCCTAAGCAAAAATCAATTGGAGAAATCACATTACCTGACTTCAAATCACACTACAGAGCTATAGTACCCAAAACAGCATGGTACTGAAAAACAAACAAACAAACAAAAAATGGACATGTGGACCAATCGAACAGATTAGAGGGGCCAGAAACAAATCTATAATCTACAGTGAACTCAGTTTTGACAAAGATGCCAAGAACATATACTGGAGAAAGACAATCACTTCAATAATGGTGCTGGGAAAACAGATATCCACATGTAAAAGAATAAAACTAGACCCATACCTCTCATCATATATGAAAACCAAATCAAAATTGATTAAATACTTAAATCTAACACCTCAAACTATCAAATATTACATGGAAACACTGGGGGAACTCTCCAGGACATTGGTCTGGGCAAAAAAAAAAAATGTTTCCATAATACCCCAAAACACAGACAACCAAAGCAAAAGTAGGATCACATCAAGTTAAAAACCTTCTGCACAGCAAAGGAAAAAAATCAACGAAGTGAAAAGAGAATCCACAGAATGGGAGAAAGGATTTGCAAACTACCCATCTATCGAGGGATTAATAACCAGCATATATAAGAAGCTCAAAGAACTCAAAAGAAAAAATCTAATAATCTGATTAAAAAGGGCAAAAGCTCTAAATAGCCACTTCTCAAAAGACATATAAATGGCAAACTGGCATATGAAAAAGTGCTCAACATCGCTGGCCATCAGAGAAATGCAAATCCAAACTACAATGAGATATCATCTCACTCCAGTTAAAATGACTTTTATCCAAAATACAGGCAATAATAAATGCTGGCAATGATGTGGAAAAAAGGAAACTCTCATACACTGTTTGTGGCAATATAAATTAGTATGACCATTATGCAGAATAGTTTAGAGGTTCTTCGAAAACTAAAAATATAGCTACCAAATGATGCAGCAATCCAGCTGCTGGGTATATACCCCAAAGAAAGGAAATCAAGATATCGAAGGCATATCTACACTCCCATGCTTGTTGAAACATTTTTACAATAGCCAAGAATTGGAACTAATGCAGGTGTTCACCAACAAATTAGTGGATAAAGAAATTATGGTACATATACAAAGAGGAGTACTATTCAGCCATAAAAAATGAATGAGATTCTGTCATTTGCAATAACATGGATGAAACTGGAGGTCATCATGCTTAAGGGAAATAAACCAGGCACAGAAACTCGGTCAGGTGCGGTGGCTCATACCTGTAATCCCAGGACTTTGGGAAGCCAAGGCAGGTGAATCACTAGGTCAGGAGTTCAAGACCACCCTGGACAACATGGTGAAACTACATCTCTACTAAAAATACAAAAAATTAGCTGGGCATGTTGGCAGGCGTCTGTAGTCCCAGCTACTCAGGAGGCTGAGGCAGAAGAATCACTTGAACCTGGGAGGTGGAGGTTGAATGATTCCATCAGAAAGAAAGAGAGAAAGAAGAAAAGAAAGAAAGAAAGAAAGAAAGAAAGAAAGAAAGAAAGAAAGAAAGAAAGAAAGAAAGAAAGGAAGGAAGGAAGGAAGGAAGGAAGGAAGGAAGGAAGGAAGGAAGGAAGGAAGGAAGACAAACTTCACGTGTTCTTACTTATTTGTTGGAGCTAAAAATTAAAACAATTAAACTCATGGAGACAGAGAGTAGAAAGTTGGTTTCCAGAGTCTGGAAAGAGTAATGAGCAGGACCGGGCAGGTAGCTGAGGGAGAAACAGTGATGGTTAGTGAGTACCAAAAGTAGTTAGAAAGAATGAGTAAGGCCGGGAGCGAAACCAACGCCTGGCTCGGAGCAGCAGCCGCTGAGGTGTCCCTGGCCAGTGTCCTCCCACCTGTCCACAAGCATGGGGAACATCTTCGACAACCTCTTCAAGGGCCTTTTTGGCAAAAAAGAAATGTGCATCCTCATGGTGGGCCTGGATGCTGCGGGAAGACCACATCCTGTACAAGCTTAAACTACGCGAGATCGTGACCACCATTCCCACCATAGGCTTAAACGTGGAAACCGTGGAATACAAGAACATCGGCTTCACTGTGTGGGACGTGGGTGGCCAGGACCAGATCCCGCCTCTGTGACGCCACTATTTCCAAAACACACAAGGCCTGATCTTCGTGGTGGATGACAATGAAAGAGAGTGCATGAGGGAGGCCAGTGAGGCGCTCTTGAGGATGCTGGCCGAGGACGAGCTCCTTGATGCTGTCCCCTGGTGTCCGCCAAAAAGCAGGACCTCCCCAATGCCATGAATGCGGCCGAGATCACAGACAAGCTGAGGCTGCATTCCCTACGCCACAGGAACTGGTACATTCAGGCCACCTGCGCCACCAGCGGCGACGGGCTCTCTGAAGGACTGGACTAGCTGTCAATCAGCTCCGGAACCAGAAGTGAACGCGACCCCACTCCCTCTCACTCCTCCCGCCCTCTGCTTTACGCTCCCGTGGCAAGCCTGCGCGTGGTGTGAGCACCTGAAGCTGCCTCCATGGTTTGGTCACTGTGTGCATGGCACTGTGCTGTAAATGTGGCAGACACAGCCTGCAGCCAGGCTTTTTATTTAATGTAAATAGTTTTTGTTTCCAATGAGGCAGTTTCTGGTACTCCTATGCAATATTACTCAGCTTTTTTTATTGTAAAAAGAAAAATCAACTCACTGTTGAGTGCTGAGAGGAGGGAGATGTAGTAAGCCTGTGGGCACCTGGCCTCCAGGAGTTGCAGTGTTGGGAGAGCTGGGCACGCTCTTGGCTTTAGAGCTGTGTTGAAATCCATTTTGGTGGTTGGTTTTTAACTCAAACTTAGTGCATGTTTAAAATAGTTAAAAATCCAGTGACTGGGCGTGGTGGCTCATGCCTGTAATCCCAGTACTTTGGGAGGCCGAGGCAGGCAAATCACGAGGTCAGGAGCTTAAGACCAGACTGGCCAACATGGTGAAACCCTCATCTCTACTAAAAATACAAAAATTAGCTGGGCGTGGTGGTGGGCACCTGTAGTTCCAGCTACTCAGGAGCCTAAGGCAGGAGAATTGCTTGAACCCAGGAGGTCAAGGTTGCAGTGAGCCAAGACTGTGTGACTTCATTCCAGCCTCGGTGACAGAGCAAGACTCCACCTCAAAAAAAAAGAAAAAAAAATTACAGGTACAGGAGGGAAATTATGGAAGGAGACACTCCAGGCTGTGAACAAGGGTTACCAGTGTAAGTGGAAGAGCGTGAGTAGAGATGGGGAAGTTTGAATTGCTACAAATAAAAGCGGAAGAGGGAATGAGAGAGGTGAATAGAAAGAAAGGGAAAATGGAAAAAGAAAAACACTAAAAAGGGACCGTTGTGTTCAGCATGTGTCTTCAAAGCTGCCATCTGTAACCCGTTATTTAAAAAGCTTCTGTCCAAATACTGACTTGTAAAAAAAAAAACACCATCATTCAACTAAGTATGTCATTGTGATTTACATGACAGTAAACACTAAACCAAACCACTGCTTAAGTTATCCAGACGTTCTAGAATGAAATATTTCCCATTCTGGAAAGTAATTTGGCAAAAACAGCAAAACTTTCATATCCAGCGATCCAAAAATTTACACCTCTAGAAATCTACCCTAAAGAAAAACTGGAGATTTGGGCATAATTTTTGGTTTAAAGATGTTATTTTAATATTAACCACAATAGCAAACAATAAGGAGTAAAACAGTCTAAATGGCAAAAATTAATTTTGTACATCCATGAAATGGAACATCAAGCAACCACTAAAAATCATTTTTTTAAAGATTTTTTAACAGCATTGGAAACTGCCCATGATATAATATTAAGTGAACAATAAAACAAGATAGAAAATGTGGATTGCGTGTTAGACACACATACACAAACACAAGGACTTAAAGGAGGAACTACACCAAAATGCTAATGATGATTAGCTTTAGGAAGTAAGTTAAAGGTGATTACCATTTTCTTCATTTATTTGTGTGGGTTTTTTTTTTTCAAGTTTTCTATACTGGGTGCATATTTGGGATGGAATGCTCCTTTACTCACCTGATACAAAGGCATTCTGTCTAACAAATCAGTCAGCCCCTCGATCCACTGCTTGTCAACTCTGTGAGGGCTGGTGTCTGCTTCACATTGTGTCCCCCATTACTGAGCACATGGTAATGGATGAATGGTTGGGTGGATGGATTTGATTGTGCTGCTGGGCCAGAAAGGGGTTTCTCTCCTTCATCAATTCCCTATTATCTTCTCTTGAAGTTTCGTGGCACAGTAGGACTTTCTCATAGATGGGAGGACCATTCAGTTGTTTAATGTATAGGCACTACCTTCACCTCTTTCTGTATCTATTAGGTTATAAATTAAGGAGAGGATAGCATGTGTGAGAAAGAGGCAGCAATAACCAGAAATCATCTGCACATCTGTTAATATAGCATATGGAAAACCACAAGTATATATATCAACATGTGGGACTGGTCCAAAAGGTCTCTACCAGGTCTCACCCACATCATTCGGTGAGTCACATTCCAGCACCTTCAGCCTTCTATGTCAATCAGGAAAAACAGAAGCCAATATCATACTAGGAAGAGCTGGGCAAGGTAAGACATCTGGGGCATTTAGTACATTTAAAACTCATGCCATATCATTTGACACTTCAGAGTAAAAATTTTGTGAAATGACTATTTTGTTCAAGATCAACATTTTGAGCATCTACTCATATTAGGTACCTTAAATATATAAAGGTACTGAATCCTAACAGTATTATTATGCTCATTTTCTTTATGAAGAACCCAAGAGGATGTAAGTTGCTTTAGGAGATATAGCTAATAAATGTCAGAGCCAGAATTCAAAGCTGAGCCTGTCCAGCTCCAAAACCTCAGGCTCAGTCCCACATGCTCAGCAGTCTGACGGATTCTGACTCCCTCCCACTCCAACTATACTAAAGCAAGTTCTTCTGTTGCCACTTTGATGCATTCACTGTCAGCTAAACAAATTTTTAAATAGACTTCATTAATGGATGTTAATTCTTCTGTTCTAGAACTAGCTTTCCCTTCAAGACACCCAGGGACATTTTTTTTTTTTTTTTTTTGAGACGGAGTTTTGCTCTTGTTACCCAGGCTGGAGTGCAATGGCGCGATCTCGGCTCACCGCAACCTCCACCTCCTGGGTTCAGGCAATTCTCCTGCCTCAGCCTCCTGAGTGGCTGGGATTACAGGCACGCGCCACCATGCCCAGCTAATTTTTCATATTTTTAGTAGAGATGGGGTTTCACCATGTTGACCAGGATGGTCTCGATCTCTTGACCTTGTGATCCACCCACCTCGGCCTCCCAAGGTGCTGGGATTACAGGCTTGAGCCACCGCGCCCAGCCCACCCAGGGACATTTTAAAGTCACAGCTGAGCAATAACAAATTACGTTTTCCTGAACAAATTTCTCACCTAATCATAAAATGACTGTGGATGTTAGTGTTTACATCCTGGCTCTGAGCAGTAGTGCAGGAAAACATCAAAGTTTTTTGGGTGACAAAGAATCACCTCTGATCTTCACTTCAAAGACAATGAGGAAAAAAAAATTCTTCCCAGCAGCATGTTTGAAGTTGATGTCAATCAGGCTTTCCCTCAACTTGTCTATACAGGTATGTGCTTTATAATAATCAGAGCTTGTTAGGAAACCATAAAGCTCCCCTAAAATGGCAATAAAAATATCTACCGCACACACACAATTTTTTCCTATGTGTTACAAACAAATTTTAGTTAATATTTTTTTCTGCTTAATCCAGTTCCCCAAGACTAATTTTAAAAGAGTGCCAATAAAGCCCCATCACAAAGATGTACAAATGCTGCTTCTAAGCCCAGGAATCTGAACACTTAATATTTTCCCTAATGTCCGTAGAACTTTCCTTCCTCTTCAGAACTTTCCTTCCTCTACCTATCCATTTTCTCCCAGAAACACAAAGCCTTCCTTCCAGTCTTATTCTAGGACCTGTTCAGGAGTCTCGATTTCACCTTTATAAATAGACGCTCTTCTGGAACATGGCAACTGGAGGAAGGCAGCCGTGCTCCTGGAACCCTTCCCAGCCTGGTTTGATGCATCATCTCTGTTTCCCACAGTGCCCAGTGCTACTTCGACCTCATCACTTACTGTACAATTATCACCATCTGTAAGCTTTCTGAGAGTTAGGACCATGTTTTAATCATCTTTGCATCCCTGGCACATAGCCCACTGCCCAGCACACAGTTGGTGCTCGAAAATACCTGTTGTTATTAAGAGTGTGAATAAATGTGCAGACAGCCCTTCACCCATGTTGCTAAAAGCAAGAGTTCTCAGGAGTCTGGGAAGAAAGACGGAGAACAATTGGTAAGCAGGTCAGCTAGAGCAAGGATGGGCAGTTAGAACATGTGATATAAGAAGGTCCAAGAAGACAGGAAGCATATTTCATAGAAAGGGGCTCATTAAACACACGCTAAAGGTGAAGTGACTGACAAGATGACAGCCATTATAGGACACAGGATAGAGCTTCGGACCCCGGAGAGCAGAAAGCTGGTATCATTTTCTTTGCAATCAGTGTCCTGGATGAATGCTAACCTTTTTAACTGTTTGCAACTGGAAACATTGGTTGAGAACCTGTATTTATGAAATACAGGTGTACATGAGATCTAGGCTAATGTGGTAGTGGCCTCTTTCTTGTGATAAATGCTTAAAAGCTTTCTCAGTACTCCACACCCATGACTTCCATGATGGGTCTGTTTCAAAATGAACTTGGTAAGACTCCCAGGCTGGGTGAGTAAGTGACCTACCATGCTACTAGACTCTGATTAAAGGCATTATAAAATACTTTACAATGATTTTAAACATTTTTGGCCAGGTGCGGTGGCACACGCCTGTCATGACAGTACTTTGGGAGGCCGAGGAGGGTGGATCAGATCACCTGAGGTCAGGAGTTCGAGATCAGCCTGGCCAACATGGTGAAATCCCGTCTCTACTAAAAATACAAAAAATTAGCCAAGCATGGTGGCACCTGTCTGAAGTCCCAGCTACTTGGGAGGCTGAGGCGGGCTGAGGCGGGCTGAGGTGGGCTGAGGCAAGCTGAGGCAGGAGAATCACTTGAATCCGGGAGGCAGAGGTTGCAGTGAGTCAAGATCTCACCATTGCACTCCAGCCTGGGCAGCAAGAGCAAAACTGTGTCTCAAAATAAATAAATAAAAATTAAACATTTTCAGTTTAAGTCTGAATGTAATAATTCATTCAGTCAACAAATATTTGTTGAGTTTCAAACATGTGTTAGCTACTGTGCTGTAACAGTAGGAAAGGTCCATTGTAAAAACACTACACTTCCTCCATTCACTCTGGGTGTCCACAGCCACTGCCATCAAGAGTATAGAAGAATGTGAGCAAAAGCAAAAAACAGTATTTAGCAAGCCCAACTTCATCTGAGTATCAGTTTATATGAAGAAGGCAATTTCTTCTCTAAGTTACTGAAATGAGGTGATAGTTTATTTGGAGGAATTTTATGAATAGATGTTGTCTTCATTCTTTATGCAAAATCCATCCTGGAGTCCATATAATGAACATTAACAACAGCTTAGCCAGAAGCACCAAGTAAGTATGTCGAATGGGTTCAGCTGCAGAAAACAGAATTCACACTACCCAGGTGCAGTGTCTCACACCTGTAAACCCAGCACTTTGGGAGGCACAGGTGGGAGGATGGCTTGAGTCCAGGAGTTTGACACCTGGGGAATATAGTGAGACCCACACCCCACTGCCGATCTCTAAAAAAAAAATTTTAATAATACCCATGCATGGTGGTGCATACCTGTAGTCTCTGCTACTTGGGAGGCTAACTCATAAGGATCAGCTGAACCCAGGAGTTTGAGGATGCAGTGAGTCACGATTGTGCCACTACACTCTATCCTGTGTGACAGAGCAAGACTCCATCTCAAGGAAAAAAAAAAAAAGATTTCTATAGATATGCATAAAAATGTACCAAAATATTATTTTAATTTACACTACCTCTTGCAGGTCAGTAATCTCAGAGACCTGGAGGCAGGAAGAGGCTGCCATTTCCTGTGCAATTCCTTCTTGAAACTCACCAATCAGAAAAAAAATACTCCTCCTTCCCAGGAGAAAAGTGAGGGAGGGAGCTGAGGCAAGCCAAGCACTTTATTCTACTGCCAATTCCTCCACTTGGAATCTATGAGTGAAAAGTTAAGCGCTTCTCACTAAGCAGTTCAATATTTTGAAGTAGTTTATTTCCTTCCCTGTGATTCTGACCTGGACCCTATCTTTCAAAAACAAGCACAATCACAATGTGTGTCTCACCCAATTGCTGAAATAAGGGCTGAGCTCTCCCACTGTGGTACAAGCCAGTAACAGTCACCTAGGATGGATAAAAGTATCTTTGACTAGCTGTAAATCTGTGTAATCACAGAGTTTAAGAATGTTTCTCATTTCACGTACATCAATCCCAGACCCTCAGACCCTCAGCAGTACTGGGATTTTTTTTTTTTTTTTTTTGAGACAGAGTCTCATTCTGTTGCCCAGGCTGGAGTGCAGTAGCGTGATTTTGGCTCACTGCAACTTCTGCCTTCCACCTCAGCCTCCTGAGTAGCTGGGACCCCAGGCATGTACCACCGCACCCGGATAACTTTTTGTATTTTTTGTAGAGATAGGGTTTCTCCATGTTGCCCTTGCTTCCTTGTACAACTTGCACTCCAAGGAACAAGCTAGGGTCCAGGTGCTCTTAGACAAATGGCATAAACATCTGATTTTGCCATTCATGGGGTTAATAGCTCAGAACACTAAGCAAACATTTATCTAGGAACATAGGGTAATTCTCAGGGTCTGCTTGAGTTACTGCTATCTGATCTCAAACTCCTGAGCTCAAGAGATCTACCCACCTCGGCCTCCCATAGTGTTGGGATTACAGGCCCGAGCCACTACATCCAGCCCAGTACTGGGATTGATGGAAAGATCTCAGAGTTATCAAGAGTCATTCTAAAGTGTATTACCCTATATAGTGGCATATGACTGTCCCAGCTAGGCCAAAGCAGGAGGATTGCTTGAGCCCCATCATTTTGGACCACCAGACTGGCAAGCTGGGAGGGTACAGTAACCGAGAGGCCCATTAAAAAAACCCGGAGACAGCAGGTGTGACATGCAGTTTTATTCTGGGGACTTATATACCACGCATCCAGGAGTGGCATGCTGGACAGGAAAACCATGCCATTTGCAAACAACACATAGGTTATAAAGGAACTTTTGCTTGGCAACCTCTACTTAGCAGCCTCCACTCAGCTCAAAACAAAGGCCTTCAATTCCTTGTATGACTTGTGTTCCAAGGAACCAGTCAGGGTCCCCGTGTTCTTACAGGTATGGCATAAACATCTGATTTAGCCATGCCTGGGGTGCATACTTCAGAACCCTGAACAAACATTCACCAAGAAACACAGGGTAATTCTCAGGGTTTGCTTGAGTTACTGCTATCTGGCACGACATGCCCACCATCCAGGCCCAGCAGTTCAAGGCTGTAGTGCGCTATGATCATGCCTGTGAATAGCCACTGCTGATAACCTACATATTCCAGATTTGAAAGTTTTAGCCTTATCGGAAAAAACCGGCAGTTTGTTTCTTATGAAAATATGGCAATAAGAATGCATTTGCAGTTACAAAATAGGTAAAGTCATTTGTGGGTGCTCATTAATCCTGCTACTCCTGTGAAAAGGCTAAAAATGTTGCCTGCATTCTACAGATGGAAAAAAAGTAATGGGTTTCATTGTGCTCTGGGTATAACAGCAAAGCCTTTGGTAGAGCCAGAAATAGAACCTCAAGAGATTTGTGTTCCCTTTTTGATGTAGAACAGAACTCAACTCAGCAGTCTCATTAAAATTATGCTACAGAAGAAGCTGGTCTGTCTCTTCACTCATTTTCTTTAATAAAATTCAATCATTTATTTCAGCTCTACTTTCAGCTCTACTCTAATTTAGACCAATTAGCTTTTCTTATACTAATTAGTCTGATTGACCATACTGTATAAATTATTATTTTGATTTGTATAGTGATTTCATAGAATACATTGGATGCTAAGCATAATGGGTAATATGTAATCATTTTAAGAAACTGTTTTTTAAAAAAGCAATATTCAATATCATCAAATTCTACAAGAGAGGAAGCTGTATTATTTAGGTTGAGAAGGTCAACATGCAGCTTCCCATATGACCGCCTTAATATAGTTCTGGATTTTAAAGCATTACAAATTAAGCCCTACATGCTTTTAAAGAAAAGCAACTTCAATATTACAGAAATTCAGAATTCCGTGCTGCCATCCTGTGTCTACCATCTTGTCATTGCAGCTATAATTTCAATTTTCTAAATTTGTGTTTGTGCACACAAGTGTTCAAGAGTTAGAGTGGCATTTGAGTCATGAGCTGCTACACCGATTAGATGTGCTCAGGATTCCTAATACGTTCACTAAGCATCTACACTATTGGACTGGGAATAGACTAGCTCTCAAAACAACAACAACAACAAACGAACACATACAAAAAAAACCAACACAATATTAGCAATATCTGGATCCTCAAGGGCAAAATGAAGATTTTTAACAAAAATTTTAGAGGCCAGGCATGGTGACTCATGCCTGTTGTCTCAGCATTTTGAGAGGCCCAGGCAGGCGGATCATGAGGTCAGCAGATCTAGACTATTCTGGCCAACAGGGTGAAACCCCGTCCCTACTAAAAATACAAAAATTAGCCAGGCGTGGTGGCGCAAGCCTGTAATCCCAGCTATGCGTGAGGCTGAGGCAGGAGAATTGCTTGAACCTGGGAGGTGGAGATTGCAGTGAGCTGACATTGTGCCACTGCACTTTAGACTGGCCACAGAGTGAGACTTCGTCTAAAAAAAAAAAAGAAAAGAAAAAGTTTAGTGATGGGGTCTTGCTCTGTCACCTAGGCATGCAGTGGCACTATCATAGCTCACTGTCTCTCACATCAGCCTCCCAAGTAGCTGAGACTACAGGCACATGCCACCACAGCAGGCTAATTTTTCTTTCTTCTTTCCTTTCCTTTTTTTTTTTCTTTTTTTTTTTGAGACAGAGTCTCACTCTGTCACCAGGCTGGAGTAGAGTGGCACGATCTCAGCTCTCTGCAACCTCTGCCTCCCAGGTTCAAGCAATTCTCCTGCCTTAGCCTCCCGAGTAGCTGGAGCTACAGGCACATGCCACCATGCCCAGCTAATTTTTATATTTTTAGTAGAAATGGGGTTTCACCATGTTGGCCAGGATGGTCTTGATCTCTTGACCTCGTGATTCACTTGCCTCAGCCTCTCAAAGTGCTGGGATTACAGGCATGAGCCACTTCACCCCTCATAATTTTTTTTTAATTTTTAAATTTTTTTAAATTGCATTTTAGGTTTTGGGGTACATGTGAAGAACATGCAAGATAGTTGCATAGGTACACACGAGGCAGTGTGATTTGCTGCCTTCCTCCCTATATCTGGTGCTATCTCTCCCCAATTCCCCATGCTATCTCTCCCCAATTCCCCACCCCTGCTGTCCCTCGCCTATTCCCCCCAAAGACCCCAGTGTGTAGTGCTCCCCTCCCTGTGTCCATGTGTTCTCATTTTTCAACACCCGCCTATGAGTGAGAACATGCAGTATTTCATTTTCTGTTCTTGTGTCAGTTTGCTGAGAATGATGGTCTCCAGATTCATCCATGTCCCTACAAAGGACACGAACTCATTGTTTTTGATTGCTGCATAATATTCCATGGCGTGTATGTGCCACATTTTCCCTGTCCAGTCTATCATCGATGGGCATTTGGGTTGGTTCCAGGTCTTTGCTATTGTAAACAGTGCTGCAATGAACATTCGTGTGCATGTGTCCTTATAGTAGAACGATTTATAATCCTTTGGATGTATACCCAGTAATGGGATTGCTGGGTCAAATGGAATTTCTATTTCTAGGTCCTTGAGGAATCGCCACACTGTCTTCCACAATGGTTGAACTAATTTACACTCCCACCAACAGTGTAAAAGTGTTCCTATTTTTGATTTGTACTTCTCTAATGACCAGCGATGAGCATTTTAAGAGGTTGCTCAGGCTTGTCTTAAACTCCAACCCTCAAGTGATCCTCCTACATCAGTCTTCCAGAACTGAGATTACAGGTGTAAACCACCATGTCCTGCCCAAAATGAGGAATGTAATCATGCCTACTGGGTAGAGTAGCTGGAAAAATTCAAGGAGATAATCTATATAAAGCAGTTAAAAGAGTGCAGAGAATGGCCAGGCACAGTGGCTCACGTCTGTAATCCCACTACTTTGGGAGGCTGAAGGCAGGTGGATCACCTGAGGTCAGGAGCTTGAGACCAGCCTGGCCAACATGGTCTCTACTAAATAAACACAAAAATTAGCCGGGCATGGTGTATACACCTGTAATCCCAGCTACTCTGGAGGCTGGGGCAGGAGAATCGCTTGAACCCGGGAGGCGGAGGTTGCAATGAGCCAAGATCGTGCCACTACACTCCAGCCTGCAGCCTGAGTGACAAAGCAAGAGTCTGTCTCAAAAAAGAAAAAAGAAAACATTTAAGTGTGCAGAGGATTAAATAAGTGTGCAATAATGGTTAGCAATTATTAGCTGTTAACATGCTGGCCTGAACACATGCCAATCTTGCAAATATCAACTTTTACTGACATGCATTTATACAACACATTATTAACGAGCATCATTTATGGTCTACAAGGCCCACATTAGTCTGGCAGTCACCAGCATCTCCAGTCACATCCCCTCTGTAGCCCAGATTATATCGTGCCTCATCCTGCATCTCTCTGCACCCCACCTCACCCCTTGGCTTTTTGTGTAGAAGTCACAGCAGCCTTTCTACATGTCCATGGATGCACTGAGCTCCTTCCTGGAGTGCACACACTATACATCCTCTTTCTTCTACCTCTACCCCAAGCTCCACTCCTTTGCTTTGTAAACGGATCTTCAATTTTCTGCTTAATTATTCCCTCCCTCAGACTCACAGCTAGGCCCCTGACACCATCACTCCAGCTCTTATTAAGTGGTAATTTTACATTTTTACATGATTGGTGTGTCAATGTCTGTTTTATCTACTGTAGCAGGAATGGCCCTGAGAAACAGACCTCTCGAACACCAAACACCGAACTGGGAAGGAAAGGGCGATTTATTCCACCGGGAGCAAGGTGGCATAGTTACCTAACAGCCAAGCTCGTCCAACAAAGAAAACCTCTGCTTTTATATAGGCTTCCAAATCTAGATATTACATGTGAAAGGGAATTGGGTTTACAGTTTTAGAAATTGCATGTGAAAGGGTGTTGGTCTTACAGTTTCAGAAATTACATATGAAACGGTCTTGGTCTTACAACTCCAGAATTTACATGTGAAAGGGTCGTGGTCTTAGGAGTAGGTATGGGGTATAGTGACTTAGGTGGGTGTTTTAGCGTGTTTAAGTAAAAACAATGCCTTCTGGAGAGATTCCTCCACTCCATGCTTGCATTCTGGGCGATTAAGGTGACCGGTCTGCCAGCCTTTACTTCTCCTATAGAAATGCAGTGTGGAAATCAAGGTGGGGATGGTCTTAGATGCTTAACGGTGATTAAAGATCTCCTCCCTCACTACTACACTAAAAGTTCCACAAGGGCAAGGTCTTTGTTTTGGGTTTGTTTTTTGTTTTTTTCACTATTTGCTCTCAGGTCTATCACAGTGCTTGACATATGGTAGGTTCTCATTGATTCTGTAAAATGAATAAACATATCCCAACAACAAGGCTATTGCTCCCAAGAATTGAGTATTTATCTCACTTTGTTTCACAATCACTGTTCTCCTCATCTCTGGCCTTATTCAATCATACAGTGAAAAATAGAACCAGATCCACAAGGGCCGAGGCCCAGCAGGGCGCCTGAAGAAGGCGGTTCTGCCCAGGGTCCCCGCGGACCCTAGTGGAAGGTCGCCAAGTCTCTCACCCGCCCCGCGGGAGCCAGACCTGGGCCACCAGAGGACACCGGAGGCCTAGGGCCCGGCCTGTTCCACCGGGATCCTGCCCGCGGCCCTCCTCCCAGCCCCGTCCCCGCCCAGAATCTTCCCGGGGATTGGCTGTCCCTCCGGCGGTGCCCCGCCCCCGCCCCCGCCCAGGATTTTCCGGGGATTTGAAATGCGCTTCTCAGCCCTAAAGCGTTCCTCCATGCGGGTTTCCGCCATGCGCTTGCCTTCTGGTCTGCTGGCCAGGCGGGGGTCGGCCACTTTGTCCCGCCGAGCTATTGCGTGGTGAGTGCGTCTCTGGCCTTTGGTCTCCGGCAGGGAGGACTCCCGGGCAGGGCCTGGGCTCGCGCGGTGTCCCCTCGAGCTTTGCCCGCCCGGAGCTCCTCTGCTCCCGGGGGCCAGAGCCGGGGGGTTAGAGCAGCCCTCGGCGGCCCGGGGGGCGGACGGCCGTACCTGTCCAGGAGCCGCGCGCGGCACAGGGGCTGCGTCCTGCCGAGCCGCTGGGAGGATCCCGGGGCAGGTCCCGGCGCGGTAACAAGTTTGCACTTTGCCTCCCCACTGCAGACGCGCCGCTACTCTGTGCAACGGGTTTCGGGCGGGCCACGCGTGCGGCGACAGGAACCCAACCCCGGCCGACCTTGGGCTCCAGGAATTCGTCTCCTACGTCTCGGGAGGTGCGGCGGACTCACTTCGAAGTGCAGGTGTGTTCCTAGCCTTGAGCAAGATGAAATGATCCAGCCCCGAACACGTGGCCAGTGGGACCCAAGGGTTTCCGGTGCCTGAATCTGGCTCTTTTAACAGGAAGGCAATTGCTTTGTTCTAAACCTTTACCTCACAACGGTCTTCTGCCCACTGACCATCCTGGTGCCTTTCCCATGTGGCCCTGTATGGCTGGTATGGCTCCTGTCTTTAGGACTTGTGCGTATAATACTTTATTTTCTTGACTGGCCAAAGAAGTCCATTTGGTCCCGTATCTAATCCATCGCATAATTGCTTGGCCCCCCTTGGTAGCAATGTCTTTTTTAGGTTGTAGGGCATTTGCCCGACAATGAACAGGAGTCAGGGATAAGGGTAGGGTCGAAAGCTGGGTGGAGTAGAGAGAGGGAGTCCATTTTTGTCTGCCCATGGAGCAGCTTTCTCAGCCCTAAAATTTCATAAAGATATTCCATCAGTTTTCCTAAGTGCTGAGCAGTGAACAACAGCAATTTCTGTAGGAAAATACATAGCCCGTAATAGAATAGCAATTATATGCCCATTGGTGATGGGAGTATCTGCTAAAGTCGAGAATCTGTGGTGGGGGGTGAAGGGGCGGGGGACGGACACGGTGGCTCAGGCCTGTAATCCCAACACTTTGGGAGGCCAAGGTGGGTGGATTACCTGATGTCAGGAGTTCAAGACCAGCCTGACCAACATGGAGAAACCCATCTCTACTAAAAATACAAAAAAATTAGCCGGGCATGGTGGCGCATACCTGTAATCCCAGCTACTTGGGAGGCTGAGGCAGGATAATCTCTTGAACCCAGGGGGTGGAGGTTTTGGTGAGCCAAGATCGTGCCATTGCAGTCCAGCTTGGGCAACAAAAGCAAAACTCCGTCTAAAAAAAAAAAAAAAAATAGCCAGGCGTGGTGGTACATGCCTGTAATCCCAGCTACTTGGGAGGCTGAGGCAGGATAATCTCTTGAACCCAGGGGGTGGAGGTTTTGGTGAGCCAAGATCGTGCCATTGCAGTCCAGCTTGGGCAACAAAAGCAAAACTCCGTCTAAAAAAAAAAAAAAAAAATAGCCAGGCATGGTGGTACATGCCTGTAATCCCCAGCTACTTGGGAGGCTGAGGCAGAATTGCTTGTATCCAGGAAGTGGAGGTTACAGTGAGCTGAGATCGTGCCACTGCACTCTAGCCTGGGCCACAGAGTAATATTCCATCTAAAATAATAATAATTCCATCTCAAATATTAATAATAATCATCATCTATGGGGTTTCCAAACTGCCAAGGAGATGGCAGAATCCCAAGGTATAGCTACTCAGTGTAAGTAGTGTTCATTTTCTCTTTTGCCAATGTGCAAGCTCACTATGTCATAGCCAATTATTGTCTTTCTGAGATTTTTGTTTATAAAAACTGTCTCAGAACAGAGTAAGTCTGTTTTTGGTTTAAGATGGAGCCTTGCTCTGTCGACCAGGCTGGAGTGCAGTGGTGCAATCTCACCTCACTGTATCCTTCCCCTCCCAGGTTCAAATGATCCCCTGAGTAGTTGGGAAGACAGGCATGAGCCACCATGCCTGGCTAATTTTTGTATTTTTTTAGTAGAGCCAGGGTTTCACCATGTTGGCCAGGCTGGTCTCCAACTCCTGACCTCAGGTAATCTACCCACCTCGGCCTCCCAAAGTGCTGGGATTACAGGCGTGAGACATCGTGCCCGGCCCAGAGTTAAGTCTGGTTGGCTCACGGGAATGTCTTAAGAGTTTTTCTTGTGATTTAGAAGCCAACTCTGTGGCCGTAAGGCAATGTGGAGTGGGGTACTCCATCAGGGAGAGGTACAGGTTTAGAGCATGAAAGGCCCTCTTTTATGGAATTTTAAGAGTTGACACAGAATGGGAAAGGTAAACAGGATAACCTATTGTAAAGTTAATGGCTTTGTCAATTAGAGTGGCAGCTGAGGCCACTATACAGGCATGGGAGCATGCCTGATGCCACTGGATCCAACTGACGTGAAAAGCGTGCAATGAGGCCAGGCATGGTGGCTCATGCCTGCAATGCTAGCACTTTGGGATGCCAAGGTGAGAGGATCGCTTGAGCTTAGGAGTTAGAGACCACCTTAGGCAACATGACCAGACCTTGTCTCTACTAAAAATAATTTAAAAAAAAAAAAAAAAAAAAAAAGCCAGGTATGGTGGTGCAGGTCTGTAGTCCCAGCTACATGGAAGGCAGAGGTGAATCTCTTGAGCCCAGGCGTTCGAGACTGCAGGGAGCCGTGCTTGCACTACTGCATTCCAGCTTGAGCAATAAATTGAGACCCTGTTTCCAAGCAAAAAAAAGTAATAATAATAAAGAAAAAAATGCTATGGAATTTACCTGACAGGAAGAAAGTTGTCCTAAAATACCCATAGCTATCTCATTGTTTTCACAGCAATGTACATGGAAAGGCTTGTCAAAACTGAGTAAGTAAAAACAGGTGTGTGGGGTGGATAATGCTAATTTCAACATCTCAGTAAAGGTTTCTGTGTTTGTGCCTGGGAGAGCATGTAGAGGTTAGGCAAAGGCAGCAAAATTGGGAATGCATTGGTAGCAACAACCAGCAGCTGCTAAGTGTGCGCACCTGTCTTCGAGATCAAGACGAAGGCAAGTGACGCAAGGTATTTGCGGGTGAGTTTGAGTAACCTGAGACATTCCTTGGCCTAATTAGGTAAGAGTTCCAATGTCCGTACCCATTGAAATCTGGTTCTGGGAGGTATTATGACTGGAGTCAGCCAGACTTCAGATATTCTCAGGTGAAAGCAGTCTTTATGCTATTCTGGTGGGCTGTTACTGCCTAGTAAATACCAACACTTGGTTTTAATGCCCCGTCGAAGCTAAGGTTAAGTTTGAATGCATCATATGTGATATGTAAAAATATCACAAAAGTGCTTAAATTGTAAGCAAATTCTTCAGCTGTGACTCCAGGCAGGAGTCCAGCTGTGGAGACTTACTTTACCCTTCTGTGTTAGCCTCTTAAAGCACTGTGTCAACCTTAAATGGGGTACAAGAAAGGGTGATTTAGGATTTTTTTAAGGGTTTGCTACTACTTCCTGCCGTGCTCTCTGGTCCACAGTTCATCATGTGTCTCAGTTTCTGTAAGTCTGCAATCCCAATTAGAAGCAGCTATTTTGCTAAGTGAGCCCATGAGTGTCAATTGCCTTTCTGTTAAGAGATCCAAATTTGGGGCTTGGTGAAAAACAGGCACCAAGGAACTCTTCAGTCCCACTGGTCATGTGCTTGGGGCCTGGGTCATTTCATTCCACTCAAGGCCAGGGATGTACCTGCTAACCTCCATGGGAAAGAAGAGACAGGGCAGGGTGAACAGCTTAGGATTGGCTAGTTTGAATGATTTCAATGGATTTCAAACTGTAGAGGTGTGTCCCCTAGTTGCATAGCACCTGGCCCTGGGATGATTAAGGCAGACAAATAATTTCTTTTGTTTGTAGGGGCCAGATAGAGGACATATGGCTCTGGGTTGGTTAGTTGGTATATCAAAGACATGCTCCTGGTTGGCCTCTTGTTATCTCTGAGAATTGGCTAGCCCCCAAGAAAGGTAGTCTCTCCCCAGCTGGAAAGGTTTTGTTTGTTTGTTTGTTTGAGATGGGGTCTCGCTCTGTCACCAGACTGGAGTGCAATGGTGCGACCTCAGCTCACTGCAAACTCCACCTCCCGGGTTCAAGTGATTCCCCAGCCTCAGCCTCCCAAGTAGCTGGGATTACAGGTGTGCACCACCACGCCCAGCTAATTTTTTATATTTTAGTAGGGACCCAGTTTCACCATGTTGGCCAGGATGGTCTTGATCTCCTGAACTCGTGATCTGCCCACCTCTGCCTCCCTAAGTGCTGGGATTACAGGCATGAGCCACTGCACCCGGCCTCTTTTTGTATTTTAGACAGTCTCTCTTTGTTGTCCAGGATGGAGTGCAGTGGCCTAATCTTGGGTCACTGGGGTTCAAGCATTTTTTCCTCCCTCAGTCTCCCGAGTAGCTGGGACCGTAGGCACATACCACCATGCCTGGCTAATTTCTGTATTTTTAGTAGAGGCAGGGTTTCGCCATGTTGGCCAGGCTAGTCTTGATCTCCTGGCCTCAAGTGATCCATCTGCCTCAGCTTCCCAAATTGCTGGGATTACAGGCATGACCCACCATGCCCAACCCTCAGCTGGAAAGGTTTTCTAAAACATCAGAATAGGCCAGGCATGGTGGCTCACGTCTGTAATCCCAGCACTTTGGGAGGCTGAGGAAGGCGGATCACCTGAGGTTGGGAGTTTGAGATGAGCCTGACCAACATGGAGAAACCCTGTCTCTACTAAAAATAAAAAAAATTAGCCGGGCATGTGGCACGTGCCTGTAATCCCAGCTACTCAGGAGGCAGGAGAATCTCTTGAACCCGGGAAGCGGAGGTTGTGGTGAGCTGAGATCGCACCATTGCACTCCAGCCTGGGCAATAAGAGCAAAACTCTGTCTCAAAAAATGTCAGAACATAATCAATATACAGAACATTTTAAGGTATTTACATATGTGCAAAACGATGATCAAACTGCCGGAAGACAATTGGCTCTTGGTATCCATAGCATTTCTGAGCAAATTATTTCCCAGTGCATTACTTGTAAATCTCACCAAGATCCTGGAGGTGGTAAGCATACTGCAAAGAGTCCTCCAAGACCCACACCACCTTTTGTGGTACTCTAAATGGACTTTATAGATTTATCTCCAGCCTTAGACTATTCTTACTGCATGTTTAATGGATGAACTGCGCCATCCGACTAGATGTGCTAAGGCCGTAACAGTGGAAAAGAAACTAACAACTGAGATTATTTCTTGTTTTGGCATTCCTTTATGAATTTAATGAGATCAAGGAACTCACTTTACAGCAGAATTAAGTCACTTGCTTGCAAAACTCTGGGATATTCATTAAAATTTTATACCTCCTACTATCCTCAATCCTCAAGGCAAGTAAAGTATAAAAATCTAAACATAAAATGAACTCTAGGAAAAATCTGTCAATAAACTGGACTCAGACAGCCAGAAGCATTACCCTGGCCCTTATAAAGATCTGGAATACTGGCCAGGTGCAGTGGCTCATGGTTGTAATCCCAACACTTTGGGAGGCTGAGATGGGATGATCAGTTAAGGCTAGGGGTTCAAGACCAGCCTGGGCAACAAAGTGAGACCCAGTCTGGCTGAGTGCAGTGGCTCATGCCTATAATCCCAGCACTTTGGGAGACTGAGGCAGGTGGATCTTGAGGTCAGGAGTTCAAGACCAGCCTGGCCAAAATGGCAAAACCCTATCTCTACTAAAAATACAGAAAATTAGCTGGATGTGGTGGTGGGCGCAATTCCAGCTACTCAGGAGGCTGAGGCAGAGAATTGCTTGAACCTGGGAGATGGAGATTGCAGTAAGCCAAGATTGTGCCATTGTACTCCAGCCTGGCAACAGAGCTAGACTCCATTAAAAAAAAAAAAAAAAAAAAGCCAGGTCCTATCTCTACAAAAAATAAGAAGACAAACAAAAAATGTCTGGAATACTCCAAATATCCAAATAGGAGGATTGACTGCTTTTGAAATAGTTTTAGCTACTCTGTGCCTACTGGGATCTCTAAAACTTTCATTCTAGCATGAAGTGAGCATTGTGGGGACTTCAGTGAACAATTCAATACTAGTTATATATAATGACTAGTTAAATATAATTCAATGACTAGTTATATACAGTAATTAGTATACCTGCAGCATATTTTCAACAGATAAAAAAAAAATGTGTGGCTTTCACTAACAGACCCTACCATCTTTTCAACCAGGTGACCAAATATATCTCAAAGTTTTTAGAAGAAACCACCTATACAGCCATCAAAATAAAATTCCTGAATTCATACAAGCCACAGCAAGCTAGATCAGGATCATCATATGACAACTGGAAGTCCATGCCTACGGGTTATCTCAAATTGAGGACTTTCAGCACCTACTCACAGGCTCCATGAGCAGATGAAGTAGACAGCTTTACACAGTATCTCAGACCAAGACCTTCATCTCCATCTCCAGCTAGCTGAAACATCTCCCCTTCTCGACCTGGAAAATTCTCTGACTTAGAAATTTAAACAAAACTCTCCCCTTTCATTTAATCTCCGTCGTCTGGAGTTTGTTTGTCTTGCCCTGACCTCTTCTGTCTCTGTTCCTCCACTATGGGTTCCCTTTTGAACTACGGTCTGCTTCCGCTAATGCTTACTGCTCTTTTGACAATTCAAGTGCAACCTCAACACCTGCTTGCACCAGTTTTCCAAACACTGTCTATCTTGACTAATCAGTCTAATTGCTGGTTATGTGAACATCTAGATAATGCAGAAGAACCCGAACTAGTTTTTGTTCCTGCCAGTGCAAGCACCTGGTGGACCTCTTCTGGGCGATGGATGTACGAAAGGGTATGGCATCTACAAGCGGAAGTGCAGAATCACTCTACTTCCTCCTGTGATAAAGTGACTCATCACTGGGAAGCCTTCATGGAGGCTCAAGGTCTATCCTTTGCTCAAGTAAGGTTATTGGAGGGAAATTTTTCTCTTTGTGTAGAAAATAAAAATGGCACTGGACCCTTCCTAGGTAACATACCTAAACAATATTGTATTCAAACACTGTGGTTCGATTCTACAGATGGCACCTTCACACCCTCTATAGATGTTACAGAGGAATCCAGGAATGATTATGATGACACAAGTGTTTACCTACGCACTAGACAATGTCCTTGGTTTGTAGATTGCACTAACTGGACCTGGAACAGCTCAACGATTCCCTTGATTGGTCTGCCCAGTACCCAAGACTACCAATGGGTAGATCGAAATTCTGGATTGACCTGGTCAGGTAATGACACCTGCCTATATAGCTGCCAAAACCAAACCAAAGGCCTTCTGTACCAGCTATTTCGCAACTTATTTTGCTCTTATGGGCTACAAGAGGCTCATGGGAAATGGAGATGTGCAGATGCCAACATAACTAATGACAAAGGTCATGATGGACACCAGACCCCCACCTGGTGGCTCACAGGCGCCAATCTGACCTTGTCTCTGAATAACTCTGGTCTCTTTATTTTATGTGGCAATGGGGTATACAAAGGGTTTCCACCGAAATGGTCAGGGCGATGTGGACTTGGGTATCTGGTACCTTCCCTCACCAGACATCTCACCTTAAATACTAGCCAAATTACAAACCTGAGATCCTTCATTCATAAAGTAACACCACGTAGACGCACCAAACGAGACACAGACAGTGCACCTCTATATTACAACCCCAAGGACAATTCAACAGTAAGGGCCCTTTTTCCAAGTTTGGGAACTTCTGATTTAGAAAAGGCAATTTTAAACCTTTCCAAAGCAATAGAACAGGAATTCGGTGCCACTCAGCCAACCTTGGAAGGACACCAATCAAACGTTAGCAGTTTAACCTCTGCATCCCCAAATGATCGTGTCTTGGATATACCGACCACCCAACGGCAAACGGCTTGTGGAACTGTTGGCAAACAGTGTTGCCTCTATATAAATAATTCGGAAGATATAATGGCTAATATACAGCGTATCAAAGACATATCCAAGAACATGAAGAATATACCGTTATTTGATTGGGGAGACTGGTTCACATCATGGGGCTATGTGCTTTTAATTGTTTTTTTCTGTTTAATCATCTTTGTTCTAATCTATGTTCGTTTCTTTCACAAATCTCGCAGATCCCTTAACTCCCAACCTCTGTACCCAGTCTTATCTCCACAGCAATCAGCATAGCTCCTTGTCAATGAAACTTCATGTCAAGTTTAAAATGGGGCAATGAAGGGACTAACAACCCATCAGTATGACACAAGTCTACTTTAATCTGAGAACGTCTGAACAAACAGCAGCTGCAGACAAAAAGCCTTAGCTAAGGCCAGGTGTGGTGGCTTACACCTGTAATCCCAGCACTTTGGGAGGCCGAGGAGGGTGGATCACAAGGTAAAGAGATCGAGACCATCCTGGCCAACATGGTGAAACCCTGTCTCTACTGAAAATACAAAAATTAGCTGGGCATGGTAGCCTGTGCCTGTAGTCCCAGCTGCTTGGGAGGCTGAGGCAGAAGTTGCAGTGAGCCAAGATCATGCCACTGCACTCCAGCCTGGCAACAGTGAGACTCCGTCTCAAAAACAAACAAAAACAGCCTTAGCTAAACTTTGATGAGTAAAGCAGACTTTACTGAGAATTCAGCTGCCATAAACCCTCCTCTGAGGGTTCCTCATGTAAGGGTACTTGGCACTAGGACCTCCCAAGGTGTTGTAAATAAACCTTATAAGAACTTTCCATACTTTCACTCTTATGCCTTAAGACACACCATTGGCTAGGCATGGTGGCTCACACCTGTAATCCTAGAACTTTGGGAGGCAGAGGCTGGCGGGTCACCTGACATCAGGAGTTTAAGACGCCTGGCCAATATGGTGAAACCCTGTCTACTAAAATACAAAAATTTGCCAGGCATGATGGTGGGTCCCTGTAATCCCAGCTACTTGGGAGGCTGAGATGGGAGAATCACTTGAGCCCAGGAGACTGGTTGCAGTGAGCCAAGATTGCGCCACTGCACTCCAGCCTGGGCAGTGAGCGAAACTCTCAAAAAAAAAAGACACACCATTAAGCTGATCAATCTGTAAACCCTTACTCCTTGCTGTTCAGAGAGTCACTCTTTATAGTGTTATTGCATGCATGTATAATATTCTTTTTTTTCTATTAATCTGTTAATTTGCAAGCCCCCAAATAATGGAACTAAGTTGGGAGCAGAAAAGTTTCTCCCAACAGCATTTTGTAGACTTCTGGATAGACCAAAGAGTGTTTGAATAGATGAAGGAATTTTGTTCCCTTGATTTTGGTTGAAGGGTTGAAGGTAGAAGAATCCAATGTACACATACACAAGACTGTCCTTGAATTTGTCTCAAAGAATAAATGTTGGGTTGTCATCAGAACCGACTGAAAACTTACTTTATGGAGAAAGCCACAAATCATTTAGGCTGGGATGATCTGAGCTTTCCTGATTTCTCATGGGCATGTTAGTGGTCTAATGGAATGTTAGTATGATGGGCGTTTTAACCATCTTAAGACCCGGGCTGCAGGTGGAAGTAGGATGTAGAGTGTTGAGGTGGCATCAAACGCTTCTCTGTCCAGTCCTGTGGTGAGTTCCTCACATGTAGCTTTCTAATTAATCTTTACAGTGTTCACAGTTTACAGAATAATCTCAAAGGGTAGATAGCTTGCTCAAGATTATACCATTACTGAAAAAGAGCAAGATGTGGGACAGAATACCTAGTATGTTACTTTTTCATTTAAAAGGGTCGAGATAATACGTATGTATATGTGCATGTATTTGCAAATAAAACAGGAAGGAAAAGCCATTAGCAAATGAAAGTGATTACATATAAGAGGAATGGGCAGTGAGAGTCTTACCTCCTTTTTAAGGTTGCATATGAACAACTCTATGAACATAGCAGATTGATCATTTATTAATAGAATAATCATTTCAAGTTACATTAAGAAAACATGGCTGGGTGCAGTGGCTCATGCCTGTAATCCCAGCACTTTGGGAGGCCAAGGTGGGCGGATCACAAGGTCAAGAGATTGAGACCATCCTGGCCAACATGGTAAAACCCCATCTCTATTAAAAACACAAAAATTAGCTGGGCATGGTTGCATGCCTGTAGTCCCAGCTACTTGGAAGGCTGAGACAGGAAAATTGCTTGAACCCTGGAGGCGGAGGTTGCAGTGAGCTGAGATTGTGCCACTGCGCTCCAGCCTGGGCAACAGAGCGAGACTCCATCTCTAAAAAGAAAAAAATCACAAACTGGGTGTGGTGGCTCATACCTGTAATTCAGCACTTTGCGAGGCTGAGGCAGGTAGATCTCTTGAGCCCAGGAATAAGACCAGCCTAGGCAACATGGCAAAACCCTGTCTCTACAAAAAATACAGAAATTAGCCAGGTGTGGTGGCACATGCCTACAGTCCTAGCTACCCAGGAGGCTGAGGTGGGAAGATCATGGAGGCTGGGAGGTTGAGGCTGCTGTGAGCCAGGATTGTGCCGCTGCACTCCAGCCTGGGTGACAGTGAGCTCCAGTCTCAAAAAGAAAAAGAAAAGAAAACTCATACTCTGGAACAATAGAACCCTTGGAGATAGGTTTATTGTTCATAGTAATGTTGATATCAAAAGAAGGTAAGAAAAACTTTCAGCAATACAAGGCACAAGAGAAAGGTTACTTGAGCTGAAAGATGTAGGACATCTTGTGTTTGTTATGCAATATGCATTGAAATGAGAAGCCATTAAAAGATAATGCAACGTTCAGTACTGGGTATTTGTGCTACTTGGTCCTCATTTCACCATGTCAAGTAGTAATACAAAGTTAAGAGGAACTGTGAAATAATGTTCCTTATTTTCTAACATTGGGATGTTAGAAAATGTCTTCTTGGAAGGATAAAGTCTCATTTATCAAATAGCGTGAGTGATGTTGAGGTGTGTTAAGCTGCACAATGCTGGGTTAGAGTAAGGTTTGTAGGGCATGAAAAGTTATAGAAAATAGTTTCAACATTACTAATGATGGACACAAAGATATTTTTGATATGTAAAACTCATAGGGGGAAAAGTCCTCTTTCCATTGTTATGCAGCAGAAGGAACACAAAATAGGTCGGTTGGCAAAAATGTTTATTAGCCAGCTCAAAGGCTCACCAGATGTTTTACTTTCGTATTTCTTTATACATTTATTAATTAGAAGCTTACTTAAGGAAAATTGTTATCCAATATTTTTTACCAGTGTGGACTCATGTATATATACATTGTTCTTTGAGTTGTAATCCAATATTATTGTACTGTTTTTCAAAGCGTTGCACCCTGGCCTCTGAGAGCTCTTGGAAAATGGGTTCCTGTTTCATTTGGCATGCCTCTCCCTGTGTGTTTTTTGTTTGTTTGGGCTTCTTCTGTTTTTTAGCACTTCTTTCTTTCTGGTCCTTCAATATGCTGCAAGCTCATCTTTTATTTTTCCTGACCAGCCCTAGAATCAGTCATTTTTTTCTAAAAAGCCATTGTTCCCTGTACTGAAAAATGTTTTTAGAAACCAAGATCTGGGCACAAGCTGTGCTCACTGCTACTGCTACTAGGTTACCACTGTGTAGGCCCCCTAAGTGGACACAGATAGGAAACGTTTGTATGTATACACAGATACCTATACACCTATACCTAGACTTTATTGAAGTAAATGAGTTTATACTGATACCTCCAACTCGCATTCAGCACCACAGGATTCATGCTAGCCTCACTTTACCCCTTGCTTATCCGTAACTTTTCTGTTGCTGAGAAACATGTCCTACTGTCTAAGATTAATTTACTTGGTTAAACTCTATGTGTAAACTAGTTACATAAAGTAGTTACCTAATTGCTAACCTGTACTCCTATGAGAAACAAAGTAACCAATTACGGTATAGCATTTGTTTTTTTAGCTTTGCAATATCCAGTCAAGACACTGTTTTCAAAAGTTAAATCATTTTAACTCCTCTCTCTCTCTTTCTCTCTCTCTCTCCATATATATATATGGAGATACATATATATACATATATATATATTTCTTTAAAAGTTGATCCATCATTATTGGCATCTAGAGAATCTAGGTACAAAGTATAAACAAACGAGAAAACACTGAATTCACTTAAATCATGAAAAGGAATCGTGTGGGCTAGGCTCCTCATATAATTCTAGTGATAGTTCCACAGATAGACTACTGAAGAACAGATACTTTTTATTCCTCTGATTGTTATCTGTAACTTTATACAAGATAGTTATTTTGTAATATATATTCTCCACAGAAGCTTCAGAAGATTGAGTATTTAAATGCAGCAATCTTAACCAAAATGAAACATTTCGGGGGTAGCAACAAACCTGCAATAATCCTGCAGCATGAATGACTTGCTTTCAAAACCTAGAGGTGTGCAAAACCAAAGGCAAAGAAAGTGTGCATTCGACAGTAAGAAAATATCATGGTATACAGTAATTATAACTGAGGGAATATGTACAATAAGAATTGTTTGGGGGAAAATGTGGATGATTTTCTTTTTTCTGTTTTCCAAACTGAATGCCTTAGGACATAATGCTTTCTGAGGGAGATCTTTGTGGTGACATAATAATTCTGTATCTGGATTGTGATGGCTTTCCATGAATTTACTCACAACAAAATGACATAGAATGATGTAATATTGGCACACACAGCTCAATGTCAATTTTCTAGTTTTGTTTTTGTGCTATAGTGATTTCCACTGAGGGAATTTGGGTGAAGGCTTCATGGAATCTCTGCACTATTTTTGTAACTTTCTGTGAATATGTAATTCAGAGTAAAAGTCTTTAAAAAATAATAGTATTTTTATATCCTCAAATTAAACATGTATATATATATATAAAGTTTATGTTAAACTTAGTTGTCTTTTTTAGTGGTTTTTTTTTCTGTATTGTTATATTAAACTATCCTTCAGAAAGGTTGAAGCAATTGGACCATGTATAATAGGATATTTAAAATTTCATTATTGTTGGCTGAGTAATTTCACTGGAAATGTACCTTAAGGAATTACTCTACCCTTCCATACCTTCTGTTTTCCTAGTAATTTCTACAAAAATATTCAAAAAACCATTTTGCCAAATCAATGGTCTATAAATTTCTAAACACATCATGTAGTGCCAGCCTGAATGCTTGGCTACTCCCTCTTTCTAAGCACCTTCCCTGAATCACACTGTGATGTTTAATTTTTGGGTTAACTTGACTGGGCTACTGAGCACCCATATATTTGATTAAACAGTATTCTGAGTGTTTCTGTAAAGGTGTTTTGGGATGAGATTAACACTTATATGGGAATACTGAGTAAAGCAGATTTTTCTCCCTAATGTGGGTGCCTTATCCAATCAGCTGAAGGTCTAAAGAGAGTAAGAGAGCTGATTCTCCCCTGAGGAAGAGAATTCTTCCTGCTTGACTGCCTATGAATTTGACCTTTCCCCCTTTCCTTCAGCTCTTTCTGGGTCTCAAGCCTATCAGCCCTTATACAAGAGCTACACCATTGGCTTTCTTGAGTCTCCAGCAATGATTTCCAAATCTGTATCTCAAAACTGAATTTTGCTACTCAACTCCAAACTCATGTGTCTTTGTACTTACCTGTACAAATCTCTCCTCAGATGCTGAAGAGGCATCTCAACCTTAGCATGGACAAACTTCACGTTCAGCTACCTCCCCCAAACTTACTCTTCAGTTTCCCTTATCTCAATGAATAATGACACTATTTACCCAGTTGCTCATGGCAGCATTCAGATGGTCTTTCACTATGCCTTTCATTCCCTTTTGCCCAAAACATCCAATCAACCAGCAAGCTCTTTCAACTCAATTTCCACAACACAATCAGAATAATCTATCAGCATCACCCCACTTTAAACCACCACTTCCTCTAGCCACTTCTGAAACCTACTGTGTTTGATCTTATCCCCCTAAAAATCTATTCTCTATGCTTTAGGCAAATGAGGACTTTAGAAACATAACCAGTGTCACTTGGCCAGGTACAGTAGCTCATGCCTATAATCCCAGCATTTTGGGAGGCTGAGGTGGGTGGATTGCTTGAGGTCAGGAGTTCAAGACCAGCCTGGCCAACATGAATAAACCCCATCTCTACAAAAACACAAAAAGTAGCCAAGCATGGCAGGCTCCTGTAGTCCCAGCTACTCAGGAGGCTGAGTCAGGAGAATCACTTAAACACGGAGGCCGAGGTTGCACTGTGCCAAGATCATGTCACTTCACTCCAGCCTGGGTGATAGAGTGAGATCCTGTCTCAAAACAAAAAAAAAAAAAAAAAAAAAAAAAAAAGAAAGAAAGAAAAAGAAAAGAAAGCATAACCAGCATCACATAATTTCCTTGATGAAAAGTCTTCAAGGGCTTATCGTGGAACAGAATCCAA